GAGGGGGTAGGAGACTACAAAAATAAGCTTAACTTCGAACTTTAGTGAATTGCAAATAAATTTGCTGCTGTAGATATGCAAATAGGTGAGCACGCCTATATGGCAAGCCTACAATCTATTAAGCAAGGCAACAAGCATACAAAGCAAATTCAAGGAAAATTATGCTAAGAAAAAAATGTCTAAAACATTCGGGAATAACCCAAACGGTGTGGAACCTTGAATGGCTTGACTATCAAAATACCAGCTCTGCACAATGATAACAGCCCCAGTTCCCAACAAATTTAAATCATCAAACTTGAAAAGATCAACTAATTTAGCTTTATTTAGGAACCTCATCAAGTACCCATTCTTCACATGTTGACACTTGCATCTCCACTTCCAATTCCAACTAAACATGTTATTGAAGCCTTGAAGAAACTGTGTTGGGGCCTGTGGCCAGGCTTTCTTACATTAATTCATTGCTAGCATCTTCCTAGTCCATCGTATATATCATCCGGGCGACTGGGCATGCATACTTGCGATGTGTGCATGTGAGCGGGAGTGATTCAAATAGATATATACATGCATTACAAGTAGGATAAATTATTCTCTTTTATTCTAAAAAAATCACCATAACGAACAATGACTAGCGTCTCGCATTGCAATCAATGCACACAATGGTAGACAAAACTTGCATGACTTTTTCCTTGACACATGCATTTGGAATCAAATATGCTAAGATAACCAATTGCCTATCTTGAATTTGAAATGGTAAACATTCTCAATTTTAAAGGAATGGGTAGAAAAAAACAAGTTCAAAATTTCCCTAGAGCATGCCCTCCTTCACATGGAATAAATGTAAGTACCAAGAGAAATGGAAAATCAAATGGAAAAATTATAAATATATGGATTCACCAACATTAAACCATCAATGGGTAACACAGTTCTAGAACAAGAGAAATCTGGATCATACAAATAAACTTCAAAGAGTTTAGTAATACATCAGCGGACTTGATTGATAGCGTTTGAGAAAATTTTGGTTCACAAAACATGAGCATTTACAACATCCAATACGTCTGGATCTTCCCTGCAATGGGTGCAATGCTACTTCCTCATCTAAACCCAAAGATCATTGTGTGCTTATCTTCAATTTGTTCCTTCCAGGCGGTTATCTGAATGCTAGCTTGTTGTTTGGGGCAATTCTTTGTCTCAACCAGGCTCTTTCTTATGAAAAGTATGGGTTAGTTGATGCGGCGAATGTTGTTGTTAATCCTCGCACCTCTAAGATGAACATTGTGGCTATATACAAATCGCTTGAAAATAGATTTTGGGTCACTCAATTTTTTTATGATTGAATTCTGCTTTGAAATATGTGTTTTTTAGTCTATTCTATGAGCAGTTCTTTTTTGACTGGCCACATACTTGGGTCAGTCAATTTCCTACTGGGTTGAAGCCCATTATATGTGCCACCGAGCCCTCCCTTCTCCCCTTTTGTGTTTTTAATGTTTTTTCTTTTTTTATGTGTTTTTCTTTTGTTTTTTGTTTTACTTTATTACTTGATTTTTTTTGTGGGGGTATTTTTGAGATGTTGGGTGAGTGTAATGTAGAGACGCAAATATTATACAATGTGTGCGAAATTACACCATTATATGGTTGTTGTTTACATACTACAAAAGGTGCAATTTTAGTGCAAAATTGTGTGCAAGTTCATTTTAACATTTTTGTCATTATCTTCTTAAAGAGTAATATCAATGCCACTAATTCATTGTTCCTTATAAAAGTTTATGATTTTAATTTTGATTTAGTTATTATTTCATTTTAATTCTTCTTTAAGGATAATACCAATGACACTAATTCATTCCTTTTTAGAATTTGTTTTTGCTAAAAAAACACTATCGTATGCTTATTCTTGCATATTATAAAAAAAGGCATGATTTTTTTGCATATTGCGTGATCGTAGGAAATTTTTTGAAATTACCGTGTTCCCCAACAAGTGTGTGATTTGTAACTTAAATCATGTGATTTTCTCAATTGTCGAGTTATCTTACTATTCAGCAGAACATGTCAAATCATACTAAATGGTCATCATCTATTTATACCAAACACTTTTACTTATTTAGATTTTGTTATAATAAATTAACTTTATTTTTAAAAATAGTAATCATATAATTGCAGTGATAACATTAGAAAGTTTATTATTATACAACCAAAATGTCTATCACTATAAGTATACAAATGCTTAAGTAGAATATGATTTTATCATGAAAATTATGTTAAATCTTAATCTTCTAGTTTGGATAGAACATGCGACAAAATCACATCCATGTATAAAATAATTATTCCATTTAGGGTTAACAAGACAAAGCACCCTAGGAGCTCTCTTCTTGACCCGATATTTCAAAGTGTTGGATCCACCTTGGAGGGCTTAGATCAACACATGTGACACATGGCCATCTTATATGTATTGCAATGTGCTCATGTATGTTGTGCTCATTTTAGTATTTTGTGGGTATATTGATAGAGTTATGGTAACAAATATTTATAGATTAGGATTGTCCGGCTTAGTTCTAACCAACATGACATTCTACAGTGTATGGATCTCAACAAGTGTATGTCCTCGAATCCCTTCCTCTCATTTCGCTAGTTGGTACTACTCGTTTCCTGATATTTCATGTTCAAATATCCCCTCTTCAAGTTTTTGCTATTAAGCTCAAGAAACTTACAAATTACGAGTTTATAACTTTGCCTCTAACCATTAGAAACCAAACAAACCTTCATACGTCATCACCAAGGTGTTGGCTTTGATTGCCTTCTTTGTGAGACGATCAAACACAAACTTGCGGTGGAGGAGTTCCACCTCTTCCTGCCCAGGCCAGGAATGGAGGCGCTCACGCTGAATTAACAACTCGTGGAAGATCTCCTAACATGTATGGTTGTGGCGACTTTGGCGAGCGTCTACAACCACACTTTGACGAAACTTCATGATACCAGCGACGTAAATATGGATGGCGACGAGGATCGTGTGGTTTCCTTGTGGAAAGCAGAAGAAGATGAAACACACTGGGAAGAGCTCAAAAAGGAGGCCAAGTTCAGTACACATCCCCATTGGCCCATGGTCCCTACATGAAAAAACACAAGAAGTGAGGGGGGACTCCACCCTATCTTATAGGGGATGGGAGACTCGAAGCCGGGATGGCGACATGAACCTTTGTGCTATCTTCCACCCAGAAAAGAGCCTCACCATGCTCCCTACAATGACCCAAGGATTCCGAGTCAACCAGATGGAAGACCCAAAGATAATCTAATTGCAAAGCTTTCTTTCCCTCCTTTCATTTACGGAAAAAAAACATACCAATCAAGCTACTAGCTAGATGCATCTACCAAACCTCCAAATTTAAAGCCCAAATACAATTCATAGCTCTCGAGAAATGAAAAGACAATAATTCAAATATGTCGTAAACAACCATCTGTTTAACAATGTTCACTACGATCCTTCTATCTCTTGTAATGTGCATTTAAGTTTGGAAATAAAAGCTTGGGGCATGGTAAAATGCATCATGTATCAATATCGTCAAAACAATTCAGTTGTTTTCTTTTTGTGAATTAAGTTATATATTCTATGTTTAGATAGCAAGCAAGCTTCATAAGAGGACTAAAATATTGTCGAGAGATCTAGATCCAAGATGCATGGGTGGTGTGAGAATTTTTTGTCATGTGCGGCAAAAGAAGCTCTTCTAAAATTGGCGATTCAGGCTTTACCAACCTTCTGTATGAGTTGTTTCAAGCTCACTAAGGGGTTTGAAGAAAATTACGACATCTATGTCCAAGTACTGGTGGGCGGGATCACTGGATAGGAGAGAAATGCATTGGTTGTCGTGGGATAAAATGGCCACATCAAAATTTAAAAGGAGGCATGGCGTCCGAGATCTTGAGGTTTTCAATGATGCTAGCGATTGTTGGAGAACTCTAAACCCTAAACATGAGATCTGGCATGATAGATGGACAGTTGGAACTACTACAATTGAGGCTTATCTGTCGTTTGTCTGGCACACCGGTTCATGTGGTGGTTGATTTGATTGAGGAGGATACTGGATGTTAGAATGAAACTTTTCTTCGGGACATATTCACTCCTTGTGAAGCGATAACCATTCTTAATATGCCACGGCCGAGGATTATCTGATCTTGGGCATGGGAGAAATCAAGGTTATTTTCGGCAGCTCGTGGAATGATGGAGAAGATGCGAGCAAATTATGCACATGCATCAAGTTCATCGGATGTTCTGACACGTGGAAAGCGTTGTGGAAACTCAAGAATATCCTGGCAGCTTACTTAGGCTGGTCATAATGATAGTATTATAGGTAGTATCATGCATGCCAACTAGGCAAATTTGATGAGTTGGCATAGAATTGAATGAAGAAATAGAGGGTTGAGTATCATATCATGATACTGTATCATATTAAATGGTGTGCTATACTATATGTCATGCATGGCAATAAATGAAGTTAGCTATGATACTAACTTATGATATTATGCACTACGGATGTAGTATCATACTATTATATGATACTCGCCATTACGACCAGCCTTGGAATTGCAACTTGCAACGGCGCGCGGCATGTCATGCAAGATGCGATCTGTGCAAAAAGTATGTATCAGTCTCAGATTCCTTTGCCATTCAACTGCTAACTGATTGACAGTGGAGTGATCATCAAAACGGACTGTCAGCAGGAGGTGAAGCTTTGGCAATCTGGGAGTGACAAGTCTGTACGATACCACCACATCTTCAGTTCTTTCGACATTTCAAGGGTTCAAACTTGACTTCACTAGGAGGAGCCCTAATGCAGCTGCAGCAAGAGAGGCTGTTGTTCAAGTTCCTAGTACATGTCATTGTTTTGTGATCCCTGGTCGCCTGAGTGTTCCTATTCAACCGGATATCAACTCACCTATCACTGAATAAAGTGCTTAGCGGGCAAATTCTCAACAACACCACCAAAAAAGAAGCTTCTTACGAGGTGTACGCACTAGCTAGATATATTCTCGCCAATGTCCCACTGTATGTAACCAGCACCACAATTTGTATACCAGTTAACACCATGTACGGGAGTCACCATCTAGTACCAGCCGCCAATGTACATACAACTCATGCAACAGAGAAAACATCCACATCCATCCAGCTGCTGTGAATTTAAAGGCTAACAACAACATGTATAACGGACGAATAGAAGCAATCAGATTTGATCGCCCGCCGCCTTGCTGTGCTGGAACTTGACGACGACGCAGGTGATGTTGTCGCCGCTCCCACGGCCGAACGCGGTCTCCGTCAGCTTCCTGGCCGCCGCCTCGGGGTCCTCCTCCATCTTCACGAGCGAGACGGCGTCCTGCATGGACAAAAGGTGGACACACGGTAATGTTTTCAACAATGAAGATGTAGTGCAGTACAAATCTTCAGGAGACAACTAGGATAAGTGGCAGAAAAATCTTGTAGATGAAAGTACGAGTGTAACATAGTCAGATACTCCCTCCGTCCGAAAATACTTGTCATCAAAATGAATAAAAATTGATGTATCTAGAACTAAAATACGTCTAGATACATCCCCTTTTATCCATTTTGATGACAAGTATTTCCGGACGGAGGGAGTAAAAACTTTGTTATGTCAAGCACAAAAACTTGCTGCAAAACGTATGTTAATAATCCTCATTCTTGTAAAACCAGTAAAATGACAGTTAAAAAAGGTGCTTAATATATTATGCTACTCCCACTGTATCAAAATATTGAACTGCAAAAAGGTTTATATTTTGATACAGAGGAAGGATTTGGCTTTCACAATAAAGAAAAATGTCAGCAAGGTTAAACGAATTTATGCAACAATCAATCCAGATGTAAATGGCATATTGCTTTCTTGAATAGGGAATTATATCTTGTGTACTCCCTCTGTAAAGTACTCCCTCCGTCCGAAATTACTTGTCGCATAAATGAATAAAAATGGATGTATCTAGAATTAAAATACATCTAGATACATTCATTTCAAAGACAAGTATTTCCGGACAGAGGGAGTAATATAAGACTTTTTAGATCACTAAAGTGTTCAAAAATATCTGCACACTGCCATGATTTTGTGGACCACATATTACTTGCATGGCAATCATAACGAGTCCTGACTACTTGTTGTTCACAAATCACCACTCCGCTACGTATGTGCCATAAATCCAACTAAGCTCCTATGTCCAACTGAGTTTATTCTACTCTGGTAGACCTTGTGAACAAAGGGATACCTGCACCTCTAAACAAGTAATTAAGTAGATAGTAACTAACCTCATTTGGAACCACATCCCACAGCCCATCACTAGCCAAAATCAGAAACTCCATTTCATCATCTATTTCTTGATCCTGACAAATTAATAAAGGGTCACACAAAAAACCTTGATCACTGATAGTTTGACATATAAGCCATGAAACAGAATATATATGTGTTTTTTTTTGCTAGAAACAAACACAAAGTATACAAGCACAAGTTACCTGAATCTCTGGTTCCGCGACAACAAATTGCTTCAACAAGCGGTTGCCAAATGCCCGAGACATTGCAAGTACACCACCAACCCTCCAAGTTCCTGAAAAGCCAACTTGCTACTATCAGATTTTCCAAGCCCCACACTCCAAGAAAATGTTATTTCTTCTGCTAAATAAATAGATAGACTACCCAAATGTTATCCAAATATAAACATATGTAGTTCAGTCAAGTTGGTTCTTCTGTGATGGATGCATGACTTACCAGCCCACATAACAATCCCACCAGCACTCTCAATTCGTTTCCTCTCATCACTTCTGTTTGGCTTGTGATCATCAGAGAGTGCAATAGCTGTGGATAAGAAAACACTATTTTACCAACAATTCAGCAGTATATACATCTGGATTGTTAACATTCACACTGTGCCAAAGAAGTAAGAATGTCCCTTGGACATCGCAACAAGTATCAAGACCTCTGATTTGCTAAGCTTAAGGAACTTTTGTTAGTGAAATTTGGATGAGATCAAGAAATAATTTGGCAAGTCCCCAAACACCTCTGTGTGGACTAGATGTTAATCGAGTAATCTTATGCTATGCATATTCAAGCTGGTGCATGTCCAACAACAAACTTCATCAGAAAGCCAGGTTGATAAGAAATGAGCAAAAATTGTTCCAGAAAAAGAAAGAGTGATCAGTGGTGGTAAGTTGACAAACATGTTTCATGCATCTAGGTTAGTGTTTTCCACTATATTGGTTGCAAAATTATTAGACCCACTACATATTGATCATCATAAATATACCAAGTAACTAATGGAAAGCTATGATGTATGCCTTCCCAGAGTGTATGGCACCGATCTTTCCAATAATAAAAGATGATGATGACTGAACTCAGTAAAAAGAGACATGTGCTACAAATTTTCACAAAATGAAAAACGTCACTATTCTTAATTTGGTGGAAACTATTTAAAGTAATTAGCATTTCATAACAACCATTAATTTGCATTCATAACAATATAAACACCAAATGATATATAGAGAGAGAGTCCTCCAAAACAAATACTTGATTGCATCAACACCGTAACTAAACTCAACTGTAAAGTTAGTGCCCTGAACCATAGACCATCCTACTATTATTGTACACTAACCATGCTAGGCCGTGTTGTGCATGTGCCAACAAATCTAGCTGAATCAAATACTAATCAATGTACAACACATAAGAATCAATCACCTTTGCCCGACTTTGATATTACAGCCCGAGAGTCACCTACGTTAGCCACGTAAAGATGATTTCCAAGCAGAACTGCTGTCGATGCAGTTGACCCATCATCTCTGTGAGTGTTGATTTCAGAATCCAAGAAATCTGAATCAGTTTTTTTATATGTTTCACCTGCGAGTTACCACTAATTAGATAGTCCACACATGAAATATCAAGGAAATGTTGGAAATAGCATTAACAAAATTATACAAGTTACTTTTTGAAAAGAGAATCTTACTTATTGCTAATTTTGTATCTGACATGAATTGTGGGTGTTTCATGAGGTTCTCAAACAAGTGCTCCTTCAAATACTCAGCAGCACGTGAACCCCCATGACCTGCAAGAAAACAAATGGTTTAGACAAAGAACCATTGAGGAAAGATAAGAGAAGTCTACAAGAAAAAAGAATTGCTGACCATCAAATATTCCAAAGAGATTTATTTGTTTATCATCAATTTTAGATGATTTTATGTCAAAGAAGTCTTCCATGGTTGCCCTTTTTCCTCTAAAACTTGAATATCCACAACTCAAACTTCCATCATCACTGCAAATCAGTCAAAATCCAAAAATGCCTGTTGTTAAAATTTAGAAACTTATAATTGCATGTATAAGACAAGTAAAATAATTTTGCAAAAACCCTGATAGCAGATGTGTATAGCCAAAAAGGCTGTCTAATCGAAGTACAGAAAATAATCTGTATATGTTAATAGAAATTAGATGCATGTATTTGAATTAGAAGTTGTATTTTTAATAGATATGTGGTGTATGCAATCAGCAACTTGAATCAAAAAAAGGTAATTTCCATTTTTCTCAAACTATCCAAGGAAGGAGATTGAAACAATATTCTTTAAATAGCAAGACCAGGACCAAGAAATAGAATCACTAGAACCGAGTATGTTTAAAGAAATAAAAATTGCACAAATTTTAAGAAGATTAAGAAGACACATCAAGCCATTTGGAAAGAAAATTATCTTTAGAACCATTATTTACGACTAAACCAACGTAATCGACAAGATAATTGCAGCTGTTACAAAATGAGTTCAAGATTTATGAAGTTCTGCATTATATAAAGTACATTTATACAAGGAAATAGCAGGCTATTCCAGAACCCTGAGACGCTTCATCTCTACTTTTGGGCCATGCATGATTCCAGCAACCACACTCTAAGCTGCTCATCACCAATGTGGAATGGACTGATGTCACAAGAGAGGATGATGGGTGTAAAAATGGGAGCAAAATGTAGACAAGTCACCAACTAAATGAAGTAGATGTGATGGACTAGTCATGTTACCCTAGAAAAAGGCATATGATTGCTGATCCCACAACAATTCCAAGCAAAGTTGGCTTGGTTGAAGAAAGTAATACTGAGTTGAGTAGTTGACCCACTTTGATGAAGACATACCAATATTCTATTTCTATCTAGATATTGCACGAGCATCTATAAGATCTGATGATGAAGAAATATTGTATTAACAGCAAATGTTCCTTTTCAAGACATCATTTCCCATATGACATGTTGTTGAATTTTTTGGAGAATAACTTGCCAAAATCGAATTGAAACATTTTAGTGAAGCTATATTATTCGTATGGCCAAAGAGTAGTTCCATAGAGTACTGTAGAATTTAGACGTATCTCGGTAGCATGTTTTATCATTCTCAGTCGAAAAGCAGCTTCTATATTATGATATTGCGCTTCCGCATATAGTATCCTCCTATAATGTTTCTGTCAAAATAATAATAACGTATTTTCCTCTTTCAGAAGATGGCATATCTATGGAGAGCAGACCATGAAAACCAGCAAGCAACCACCTGTTAACGCCTTAACGGAAAAGATACAACATTATGCTTTGCAGCACAATTATGCCGTTCACTGCTCTTTGTCTAAAAGCGAGCATCCACTACTCTTTAGCAGAGGCATGTGTGCATACTATGCAACAGGTTCACTGGACGCTACTGCCAGTAGGAAAAATCGCACAAGAGTTTTCGAATTTATGTTGATTCCATAAAATTGATGTCCTGGTTCATCCCAAGTCGGGAACAATACATAATTCTAAATAGGGAGAGTACTAGAATATTCCGGCCAGAAAAGGACAGCGCGGACGTATTGGCAAGGTACACCCGCTGCCTTCAGTATTGAATCTAAATTGTCGTTTACCGGTATTTAGTGAAGCATGTATTTTCATTGAAGCATTTCTTTCTATTTTGCATGGGACCAGCCAAAAACCGCACGTAGACTTCGGCTCTAAAAAAATCTATGGTGGTGCCAAAACCGGTAGAGCTAGTCGAGCCGTAACCAAACAGACCTTCATAATCCCACAGAGTAACCACCAAGCTAACAAACTGCACGCAAAACTTCTTCCAGTTATGATCCTGAATGCAGCATATTGACTCACAGAAAGCTACATTCTGCATCACAAACACATGGTCATGCAATTACGTCCTAAGCTCTACCACACCGCGTTGCATTAAATACATCAGAACACAAAGCTGCACATGTAGAGCATTTGAATCAAACAGGCCAACGGTACTTCGCGCCAGCCAACAATACCGAGCATCCGCAATCTGCGAAGCAAATGAAACCGAGGAGCCAGCGAGAATTATTACCTCTTGCAGCCGCCGCTCATGTAGCCGACCTCGTCGACCCTGTCCCTCTCCCTCTGCCTCTCCTTCTCCTTCTTCTCCTTCTCCAGGTCCTGGTCCTTGGGCACGACCAGGGCGGGCACGGCAGCGGCCACAGCATGCCCTTGCTTCCTCCTCGCCTGCTCCGGCAGCGCCAGCACCGGCGACGACGACACCTCCTCCTCCTCCTCCTCGGACGAGTGCTCCGAGTCCACCATGGCCACGGCCGCAGCCGGCGACACGTCCATGCCGGCCCCCTCCTCCACCTCCATCCCTACTGCTGCTGCCGCTGCTGCGGAGGACACCTCCACCTCCATCTCCACCTCGACCTCCACCTCCACGACGCCGGCCCGCACCTCCCGCTCGGGCGAGGAGGCCTCCTCCTCGACCTCCCCCTCGCCCTCCTCCAACTCCAGCTCCAGCTCCTCCTCCAGCGGCTGGTGCGCGGGGGTGGCCCCGGGCTCCGCCATCGCCTTCCCCTTGGCCCGGAACCGGCGGTACTTGACCGGGTGCCGCACGCCCAGCCGCTTGTCGCTCCCGGGCTTGGACGGCCCCGCCCCTACTGCCGCCTCCCCCTCCCCCGCTCTCGCCGCCCCCGCCTCCGCTACCACCGCCGCCGCCGCGGACGCGTCCGTCACCGCAGATGCAGAGGGCGCGGGGGTATCCGGCGACCTCTCCTCCCGCTGGTGCTGCTGCTGGTCCTTCACGGCGCCATCGTGAACCATGAGCCAACCGCGGAAACCCTAGAAGCGGCACGCGCAGAGCTCAGATTCAAATCCGCATCCGACGAGCGAGCGAGCGAGCGATCTCGGGGCGCTCACCTTCGGGCCGGATCCGATCGGGCGGTCGGGTCGGGGCAGATCGGATCTACGGGGCGCGGCGGCGGCGGCGGCGGCGGCGGGGTGGGTGGGGGCGGGGTGGGGGGCGTGAGCTGGGGTGGGGGGTGGGGTGTGGAGTGATCGGAGCGGAGTGTCGCTGTGTGTGCGTGAGGAGGAGACGAGAGATGAACAAAAATGGAGAGGAGAAGCGGCGTTGCGCTACGCCCTCCCTACGCTCATGTATTTATTTATTTCTTTCGTGTATTTCTTTACGTATTTTATAATGTGTAGTACGTATTTATTTATTTGCAGGCGCGTCTGCAAATTGCAGCCCATGGTTTCGAGGATACACAAGAGATGCTACGAACGGAAAATGTTAAAGCGGTTTAACACGCGCTTTGCCACGTGTTCATTTTTCTTGTTGGTTTTTACGTACTTACTTATCTTTCCCTGATGAGTATTTTCTAAAATTATGAACATCCATAAAATGGGAAAAGCTTACCTTCGGCCAGCCGATCGCGCGGGCACATCTGCCGGCTCCGTGTCCGTCAGATCGTCTGTTGGCTAGTGGGACGAGAGCAACCCCGTGTCCATATTTTCTGCAACTGAGTCTTTGTTTCGAAAAGGAGAGCTTTGCAACTGCCTAGCTTTTTGCAGCGGCGGTGACTCATGCGTCTAACTAATTGGAATTCCAATTAATCATTGAAGAAATGAAAAAGGGATTAAATAAAAAAATCCAAGTCTTAAATGAAAGGATCTGGTTGGAATCTTAATGTGTGGTAGAAAGAACTACATATAGGAGGGCGATGGTGTTGGGGAACGTAGTAATTCAAAAAAAATTCTTACGCACACGCAAGATCATGGTGATGCATAGCAACGAGAGGGGAGAGTGTGTCCACGTACCCTCGTAGACCGAAAGCGGAAGCGTTATGACAACGCGGTTGATGTAGTCGTACGTCTTCACGATCCGACCGATCCAAGTACCGAACGTACGGCACCTCCGAGTTCAGCACACGTTCAGCTCGATAACGATCCCCGGACTTCGATCCAGCAGGGTGTCGGGGATGAGTTTCGTCAGCACGACGGCGTGGTGACGATGATGATGTTCTACCAGCATTGCGTGATTATCTCCAACACAACAGGTGTTGCATTTCCTTAGTTGGATCTGCTCTAGCACACAGTTGTGGCTTTCAGCTTTTTTTTAGTCATCAATCAGTGTGATTCGTCATCGTCCGAAGAAAAAAAGCAGGCGTTATACCTCTTCCAACAACATCGATGAGTATGAACATCTCCCCAATCGCCAATTCCAAGAGCTCCACTCGATTTACACATTGCCTCCACCACCGACAGTGGCTGCTGGTGCAAAGAGCATAGTGAGGGACGACCTCTAGCAGCCTCAAATCTAGGCAATTCTAGCGATCAACCCTTCGACAACCAAAGTCGCGAGGAAGAATACATGAAGAACGAGAGCAATCTCCAGAGCCGATTTGTGCAATAAAAAAGGCAACCTAAAAAAACATCACTAATCCTATGGCAAACACACCCTCCTTCCTCCATCCCCGACCGCCTGCGAAGGAGGGAGGGAGAAGGGTGGTCGGTGTTTACATCACAGAGTCGAACTCCTCAAGCTATAAGATACATTAGGGAGGAAAAGGAAGAGGACGCAGGGGCGTGCTCGAAAAGCTCTTTCAATTAAAGCATCCTTTGTTGTAACTTTGATGATTAACATCCCCTTGTCTAAGAAAAAAGGAAATGGATGTCTATGACTTATGGGTAGGAGGACGAGAATGAGCCAAAACAAATAGACGGGCTGCGACTTTGATACTAACCCTGTAAAGTCCGGGGTGATAACGAGCCAGGAATGATAAGCAAGTTAAAGATGGAATTGCAGTCAAACATGTATCGACACTAATGCTTCTTCGAGTTTGTTTCGAACATTCGACAAAAACACGCATGTTGAGCTAGATGTTTCATTCGTCATCTGATATCACCATTACATTTGTTTCCCGTGACTGTAGTATCATAAACAACCATCGCATAAGTTTTCTTTGTTTTTGTGTTTTCTTATCTTGGTACTGCTGATTTCACGTTTATTTCATAGGAAGACTACGAAGACAGAGTTTGTTCTCTCGAGGCGTGGTTTGAACAAACATCGCATAAATTTTTGGTTCCTTTCAAATAGTGACCATAATTTTGATGCTCCTCTAAAGAAAGTGTGACATTCTAGGGTCAAACATAAAGTTTCACCATTCAAAAGGGGTGGAAATATAAGACCCTTTCCAGATTTGGAAGAAATGGGGAGGGGATAGAGGGGGAAAGGTTTTCGGGGGTATAAATACCGGGAGGGGAGCCCTCGTCTCGTCTCTATCCCCTGCGCCGTTCCCCTCTCCCTCTCGTGACGGCTGCGCGCTTGAACCCCACACCCAGCACACCCCCGCGCCGGACCGGACGAATCGCGGCGGCGGAGGCGGCGGCGGCGGCCGAGGGGCGGGGAGAGAGAGAGAGACAGGCGGCCCGGCGAGATGAAGTACGTCCTGGTGACCGGCGGCGTGGTGAGCGGGCTCGGCAAGGGGGTGACGGCCAGCAGCATCGGCGTCGTGCTCAAGGCCTGCGGCCTCCGCATTACCTCCATCAAGATCGGTACGCGCCCCGCCCCCTCCCCGCCCTCCCGCGCCCCGCTCCGGCGACAGAGAGACTCGGTACCGCCGCCGCCGCCGCCGCCGCCGCCGCCGCCGCCGCCGGCCCGATACGTTTCTTTAGATTTCTTTTCCCCTCTTTTCCCGGGTTCGTTACACGGGGGCCGTCCTAGATCGAAATACCCCGGTTTTCGAGGGGATTCTGCCGTCCCCGGGTAGGAATTTCAGGCGAGGCCCGTCCCCCGTCCCCGTCCGCATTGGGGGGCCGCTGCTGGCGCGGCCCTGGGATTTTGAACGGTGCTGAACAGTAGCAGCGGCTTCACCCGGCACCGGCCAACCTTTTATTTCGCATGCCCGTGATTTGTCCATGGATCATATATTGACATGAATCAGGAAAAGGATCAAGAATTAGCCGGGCCTGGTCGTCAGTGCTGCTGTATCTGAAGCTCCATCTGAAGGGTGCAAGGTGGCCAGGATAAGTTTAAAGAACCACCACTAGGTTTATCCCTCCATTTCTTGTTTCTGTGCGTTCCGGAGGGATTCTCGATGCGTTGTCGCAGCGCCACGGAGGCCCGGTTTAGATTTCTACCATTCCTTCCAGCATCCAACCATCGGCGATACACGTAGGGTACACGTTGAATAAACTCGGATTAGTTTGTTTATGCTATTCATCGTTTGATAGTTATTGGTTTCTAGTTAACTACACCCTTCTTTCTCTTGGCTCCTTGTGGCTATATTATTGTTTATATTATTGCCAGGAAGAATCATCATTTCGAGTAATTTTTGTGTTGTAGCGTTGGGGCAATGCTACCTATTGCCTGCCCAGATGCTTTGACTGATTACTTCTGTTCTTGCAAAAAAACTTCTGTTCTTGCAAGGCTGGCATTTTCTGATTGTGTCACTCAAATGTGCAGATCCTTACCTTAACACTGATGCTGGAACCATGTCTCCTTTTGAACATGGCGAAGTGTTTGTTCTAGATGATGGTGGCGAGGTATTGGAATCTGCTACATGACTAAGTCATCGATGTTTTAATGCTGGCACAGATCTGTTCATTTGATATAGCCTTAAATCGTTGCAGGTGGACTTGGATCTCGGAAACTATGAGAGGTTTCTAGACATTAAGCTGACACGCGACAACAACATAACTACTGGAAAGATCTACCAGGTGTGCAACTACAACCTACCACCACCCCCTGCTTAATGGCAATGTCAAACTATAGCTGGGTCGGATAATGTTCATGCTGAATCATTGGCTGTATTTCAACATCATTGCAATGTCTTAATCTTAACAGTATGACTTGGTCATACAAGGTCATTAGCTTCTCATCCACTTTCTTTGTTACATAGCTATCAAACACTATTTAATTTTAAGCTTTCTACATTTTGATGTTGACATCTTGTAACAGCTTACAGGATATAAAAGACTTGTTTTCTCATCCACCTGTATATTGAATGCGCAGCATAACTTATACTTAAGCATATGAGTATGTGAGAAACTGAGAATAGCGGCATGTACAACATGTGCATTTGTAAATATGTTTGTAAAAATTGCAAAATAGTCTGATCTTGCTTGTTTGTTTAACTTGATATTTTTTTTATGGCAGTCTGTTATAAATAAAGAAAGAGAGGGAGAATACCTGGGAAAGACTGTGCAGGTGCAAGCCACTTCCTCCAGACTCATCTTTTCTTTTTCTTACTTGAAATTGGCAACTTACATTGAACATTTCTTGGGAATCTAATATGATCAATCATGTTTTTCCTTTAATTAAGGTTGTTCCACACATTACAAATGCAATACAAGATTGGATTGAGCGTGTTGCAATGGTCCCTGTTGATGGCCAGGAGGGACCTGCCGATGTCTGTGTTATAGAACTGGGTGGCACTATAGGTGCAAGAGATAACTTTTAACATTTTGTTCATTTCTAAGACTCTTTCTTTGCTTACAATTCATTTTGGAGTTCTAATCTTCTGTCTGTAACTTAATGATGTGCTGCAGGGGATATTGAATCCATGCCATTTATTGAAGCTCTAGGTCAATTCTCCTATCGTGTTGGTAAGGAACTTGCATCTTACATTAAAAAAAAATCTTCTACATGGTGGTACGAATATCATTATTTCCATGTTCTTTATTTATTTGCCAGGTGCTGGTAATTTCTGTTTGGTACATGTCAGTCTGGTTCCGGTATTGAATGTTGTCGGTGAGCAGGTAAGTAAACTTCTTACTTCTCAGTCAATTCATAATGCCAGTCTTCCCTTTGCTGATTGTGG